GGTCTCCCAGGGCGGGACCTGTACCTGGAGCCGTCGCTGCAGGTCATCCTGGACGCCTACACCGACCTGTTGAAGGGGACGGCGAAGCTGGTCAGGGACCATCACGGCTCGGCCGTCACGGACGCTGTCATCGAACAGGAGGCGGATGAGGTCATCGCCTTCGAGGTCGCCCTCGCCGAGGTATTTTCCCATCAAATTCAAGGATATTTTTCCGTCTGTGTTTTTTTTCACCTTTACTTGTCCTTTACTCGTCATTTACTCGTCATTTACTCGTCATTTACTCGTCATTTACTCGTCATTTACTCGTCATTTACTCGTCATTTACTCGTCATTTACTCGTCCCTTACTTGTCCTTTAGTTATCCTTTACTCGTCCCTTGCGTGTCCTTTACTTGTCCTTTACTCGACGACCTTAGCTTGCAAAAGCACGAACACTTCACAGCTTATTCCTGAGATCAAAAATCGCGTTGGATGACTTAAAAGCGAGTCTGCGCCACGGCATCAGAATTTTAATTTGTCGACTGCGAAATCTTTAATGAACTTTTCTTGCAATGGAAATTCGAGGTTGCGGATGGAAGCAAGGTTCTCAGGAACTCTTTTCATCCTTGAATTGAAATTTTTAAAGGCACAGACTCACCAGTAATCGGCCAAGAAATGTGTTGGCGGGAGAAATCCGCTGAGCTGCTGCCAACGGCACAAAAGGCATAATTTAAAAATAAAATTCACATATTGATTAACGAATGATACATTTTTTACCCGGCGAACGATTCGAGCAGGGAAAAATGCTGCATGAAGATTTTTTGCGTTTCATTTCCATTTTGCAAATTCTTGGCATTTCCAACTAAAATTCATTCATTTAAAAAAGTTTCTACTACGTCACATCACATCGACCGCGAACTGGAACACAACCGCGAACGCAGTTATGACGCAATCGATGACGTCATCATTTTCGCGTACTCGCACCGGGTCCGCGGACGAGATCCCGCGAGCTCAATCTTTCATCAGGGAGAAACGCAGGAACCTTTTCTTTCTCGCAGATCGTCGTGCCGGACGTGGACAGGCTGAACACCACGGCCCTCTACGACAAGCTGAGCGTGGCGGACCTCCAGGCGGTGGCGGACGGGGGCGCCCCGGGGGTGGTGAGTCCGTCGACTGCAGTTTTAAATTTTCGAAATATTGTGTTATTACGAAATAAACCCGATATAAAAGTTGTATGGCCTTTACTGATAAGTTATCGTATTGGTTCTATATCGACAGTTTCGTTGAAATCGTTGAATTTTTAGCGACCGCTTTTGCTCATCCGACCTGGAGTTTCGTAGTAGAACGGAAAATAATGGAGACCGATCCGCTCGAGCTGGTCTGGGACGAGTCGTGAATGGCAATTAGGGGATTTTGTATGCGTGAGGCGGAGGATTCCGTGAATGTTAGCGTAATGAATGGCACGATTCGCGACCGAGGGTCACCATTAAGAAATAATTAAATAAAGGATCGTCCACCCTTTAAGAATGGCTATAAAGGCTCAATAATTTTCTTTTTTCGCCTCAGAATCGCCTTTACCTTCCTCGGCATTCAAATTGGTTTTATATTTTTTTTTTAAAGATCTCTTGGACGGATTTCCTGAACTCCGTGTTCTCAAGCGTGGGGGTGACCTGGGACGGCAGCGACGAGGTCATCTGTTTCGCCACGAACTTCATGGACGACCTCACCGCCCTCCTCAACCGGACTCCAACGAGGACAATCGGTGAGGGGAAAGCGGCTCGGGAGGAGGG